CGTCATTGTTGTTTGGCGGGTCCGGGCTGGGGATTCGAACCCGCCACCTTAGGTGTACGTGGCTGGCGCCTTAGCCGGTTGAGCTATAGGCGCTGAGCCTGTCCTTGTATTTTCTTTACACTAGTTACTAGATCCAGAGGCCTTGTCAGGTTCAGAAAACACAATTTCTAGTTATTTGTATTTTTTATAATGTCAAAAGACATGAATGATCATTATCTAGGTCTTTTATTTTAGTATGGGTTTTTAGTCTATCATTCCACCTTTATGAGCTATACTTCTATAAAGAGAAACTTCATCGACTTTCTGGTTACTTTGAGGTACAGCTGAAATAAGAAAAGGAGGTTAAATGCTTCTTTCTCTGTATACTTTTTAAAATAATGAGCTGATCTCCTACTATCCTCCAAAAGTAAATGAGTTTTTAGAAGTATCTTGTAATGATGGATTTAAATATATTTAATATTCTTCATTCCATATCAATTACTATTTTCACTAATGCTCAAATTTACTTGTCCTTGGCCAGTGGAAAGCTCTTTAAATTGGCACCTGAGTTTTTCTGATAGGAGCCCTGGTTCACTTTGGTGGGACATGGCGCTCAGATACCTCCTTGCGAGTGGTGCTGGGAGTGCTTCTTGCTACTGGATTAAGTGCTTCTACATCTTTTCAAAGAGCAGATCAAGGCAGGAAAAATACATAGTGAGTTTATAATGATATTTCCAACTCAAATTTAGGACTTCAGAAGTTTAAAAATTTTATTTTAAAATGTTTTATTTTTTTAAATCTTAACTGTTAATTTTACTTTATTTATTTATTTATGAGACAGAGCCTCAAGCTATTGCCCTGGGTAGAGGGCTGTGGCATCACGGCTCACAGCAACCTCTAACTCCTGGGCTTAAGCGATTCTCCTGCTTCAGCCTCCTAAGTAGCTGGGACTACAGGTACCCACCACAATGCCTGGCTATTTTTAGGTTGTAATTATCATTGCTGTTTGGCAGACCAGGCTGGATTCGAACCCACCAGCTCTCGTGTATGTGGCTGGTGCCTGCCACTTGAGCAACAGGCGCCGAGCCTGTTAATTTTAGTATGGGTTTACCCTATAATATGTAAAATAGTTCTTGAAGTTATAGAAAAATAACAATATCAATATTATATTTCCAACTGTATGATCAGTAAAAACTACTAACATTATTTTGTAGCCTTTCTGATGTTAAGGCATCTGATACTAGAGATACACAGTTAAACCACTATTTCAAGGTGCTTTGAAATAATTCTAAGAAATAAATGTGTGGTTATGCCTTCAACTCAATGTATCAAGTCATTTGTTTTATTCTGCTTTTGATATTAGGGATTTTCCCCCCCATTTTGTTTTAAATTTATTTTCTAGCAATTATTATTATTATTATTATTTTTTGAGACAGAGTTTCACTTATTAACCCTTGGTAGAATGCTGTGGCGTCACAGCTCATAGTAACCTCCAACTCCTGGGCTTAGGTGATTCTCTAGCCTCAGTCTCCCGAGTAGCTGGGACTATAGGTGCCTGCCACAATGCCTGGCTATTTTTCTGTTGCAGTTTGGCTGGGGCTGGGTTTGAACCCACCACCCTTGGTATAGGGGGCCGACGCCCTACTCACTGAGCCACAGGCGCCACCCTGTTTTCTAGCAATTATGTAAAACATTCACATGGTTCCAAAATCAAATCTATGAAATCAGAAGTCTACTCTCCCCCCCAACAGATAACCACTGAAAAATCTTTATTGATCATATAATCCCTAAGAATACAGAAATGTTTCATGGATTTCTGTGGGGGCCATGCTAATAGTCAATGTTATTCTAATGTTAGTTCACGTGCTGTTAAAGGAGCATTGAAAGTTATATTTTTTATATATATGATCAGAGATACCCTTAGAAAGTGAACTCATTTTACATCACTACAAGTTGACACAGTGCAGCATCCAACATCTCTAACCAAGTGGATGTGATAAGGCAGCACCCAACCGTACTGACTTTCACTGCCCTTTGAAATGGGAGATGTTAGCTGATAGAAACTTGAACTGCTCTTTAAAACAGTATCTTTAGACCCAAAGTATCTTTAGACCAAAAGCTGGGGCTCATGCCTGTAATCCCAGCACTCTGGGAGGCCTAGGTAGAAGGATCCTTTGAACTCAGGAGTTGGAGACCAGGCTGAGCAAGAATGAGACCCCATCTCTACTAAAAATAGAAAAGATAGCTGGGCATGGTGGTGGGCACCTATAATCCCAGCTATTTGGGAGGGTGAGGCAGGAGGATTTCTTGAGCCTAGGAGTTTGAGGTTGCTGTCAGCTATGACATCACAGCACTCTAGCTTGGGCTATAGAGTGAGATTCCACCTCAGAAATAAATAGTTAAAAAGTTTTATCTTTAGTAAGTTGAATGAGAAAAAAGAAAAAAGTTGGATGGGGAAGCACCTGTGGCTCAGAAGGGTAGGGCGCTGGCCCCATATGCTGAGGTAGGGGTTCCAACCCACCCCCGGCCAAAAAAAAAAAAAAGTTGAATGATATTCAACATAAAACAATATTCAGTACTTTTTTTTTTCCTTTGAGACAGTCTCACTATGTTGCCCTTGGTAGAGTGGGCGACAAACTCTTGGGCTTAAGTGATTCTCTTGCCTCAGCCTCCCAAATAGCTGGGACTACAAGCACCTGCCACAATGCCTAGCTATTTTTTATTGTTGTAGTTGTCATCGTTGTTTAGCAGGCCGGGGCTAGGTTCAAACCCACCAGCCTATGAACTATGGGCGCTGGGCCAAAATTGAGTACTTTTCCTACTGGAAAAAGTGTTATTTGTAATGTGAGTATATAATAAAGTGTGGACTGATAGTCAGAGAAAATACTGAGGAATCAACAGGTGGCCCCCAGTGGGGATGGCCGTGGAAGAGTCTTCCACAGCAGGGTGCGGAGTCTTGGGTCCTGCTCTTGCTGCTCACCCTCTATCCAGGATGCCATCACTACTGTGTGGCCTCGTCCCTGCTGCCACCTGCATCACTCTCCTCACTGCCTGAGCTCCACCTGCTGTCATCTTCAGCAGAGGCCTTAGAGCCTCAAAAGGGGGCAAACCCTACTACAGACTGCATCCACGAGGGAGCCAGGTTGCATGCTCCTGATGAGAATCGAATGCCTGATGGTCTGAGGTAAACATGATGTGCTTGAATGGTCCCGAAAACATTCCTCCCTCCCCTGTAGCCTATGGCAGAATTGTCTTCCATGAGACTGGTCCTTGCTACCAAAAAGGTTGGGGACTGCTGATGTGCAGATAAATTAAATGTTTCCTTCAAATGACCTTGATGAAATCTGGTCTTTATAATAGGAAGACTTGATAGTTTGGCAGAGAAATGATATGAAAAGTAGAGTATTACACACCACAGCTACCTGTTACATTAAAATAATTTTATCTGAGAGCAGAGAAGGCAAACAAGCTACCAAGAAAATACAAATTATACAATTTTCCACTTTTCTCAAAAGTTGTAACATGACAGTGCAAAAATCTTGAGCGTGGCAGCCTAGATGATTTACACATCAAGGATGAGAGTGTTTCACAATGGTTTCTGTGTTCGAGGCCCCAAAGAGAACAAGTCTGTATAAGAGCCTTTAAAGGCCCAATGAGGCCGGGCACAGTAGCTCACAACTGTAATCCTAACACTCTGGGAGGCCAAGGTGGGTGGACTGCCTGATCTCACAGGTACAAGACCAGCCTGAGCAAGAGTGAGACCCTGTCTCTTAAAAAAAAAAAAATAGCTGGACATTAATGGTGGGCACGTGTAGTCCCAGCCACGTGGAAGGTTGAGATGAGAGAATCGTTTGAGCCCAAGTGTTTGAGGTTGCTGTGAGCTGTGATGCCACAGCACTCTACTGAGGGTGACAAGTGAGACTGTCTCAAAAAATAAAAATAAGGTCCAATGGATACATAAATAAAGACATACCTTGATAGCCACTAGAACTAAACACGGTTGCTAAACTCTGCAAGGCCTTTCCTATCTTCTGATATTCCTTGGGCAGTGCTGAAAGAGAAAAAGCAAAATGAAATGGAATTCAACTATTTTCTAAATCTGATTATAATAAAAGACATTTGAAGTGATTTAAAACAGCAAACTTGTTTTTTTTTTTTTTTTGCAGTTTTTGGCCGGGGCCGGGTTTGAACCCACCACCTCCGGTATATGGGGTTGGTGCCCTACTCCTTGAGCCATAGGCACCGCCCAAACGTGATTGTTTTTTCAATTAATAATTTTTTCAATTAATTTTAACTGATTGTTCAACTAATGGCTGACACTACTAACTACTACCTGACATTCCCATTCACTGAGTGACACCTCAGCGATGTCTATGAAGTATTTCACACACACACCATGCTCGGTCATCATGACACCCCCTCTACCAGCTGCAGAGACCTCATCTCCTTGTTGAGGGTTAGGGAAGTAAGCTCAGATAACTGACTTGGCCAAGGTCACAAGGTTAATAAGTCGTAGATTGGGTGATTCCAAATACCTTACCTTTCCCAGTCTATTATACATTTACAAACATCATTTGCAAACCAATAACCTCCCAAACAAAAACTGACAGTAACAGATGTGGAGGAAAATACAAGTCGGACTCCGAAGGACCAGGGAGGAAGGAAGGGTCTGAGTTTTCCCAGCTGTATGAATGAGATGATTCACTATGACTCCTTTTTAAGGTACTAAAATTCTAGGATCATTTTGGAGAACTTCCAGAGAAGAGTCTCTGCATCTCAGGCTACTTTCTTTGCTTTTGTACAGTCCCCTTAAACATATCTGTGACTTTCAAAAGAAACCATTATTTGCAATTAACACATTAACTGCCACACTAGAAAAAAATTTTGGGGGGGCTACAGTGTTTTATTATAAAAATAGAATATAAACTTTGAAAACAAAATGATCTGAAAACATGTTATCAATAAAAAATATAAAAACTTAAAAATTGGTAATATAAAGAGTAATGTGAAAACTTGAAAAATAGTTCATAACTCACGTATTAGGTGATGTGTTAAAGACTAAGTGTTACAGCATTAAAGAAGAAAAGGAAAAATATCTAGGCTGGAGAACTTTAAAGTAAGATCTATCAGCTTCTATTATCAGGAAACAGAAATTCAAACTGTAATAGCTCAGTTAATTTTAACAAATTATTTACCCTTTTGAACCTGAGTTTTTGGCTCTCTCCCTGGGAAAAAACACCTGGCATGTGCTTTCCCACACAGAGTGTGTGCTAGAGTTTTCACTTTACTGACTAGGAATTTTTAAACACTATTTTGGGAGAGAAGAGAAGAAAGAACATATGCCTGAATTAAATTCTAAACAAAGGGCCTCAATCTCTCCCTCCATCAGCCTTACGTCATTATGCCTATTTTATAAATTTGGCCCTATGGATTGATTACATAGGACATGGAGTTGACCAGATGTTAGACATAAGGGATTTAATTCTCTTGAAAGAAATCACAGCCCCAGATTTTGTGACATCCTTAGAGAGACTGATGAGATGTGCATGTTCTGAAAAACAGCTTTCAAAGAACAAATAGATTTGTTTAGAAAAATGATTTGTTGTGATGGCCTTGTAAGAGTTTACAACCATAATGACTTCTGACATTGAACCCCTTTGTTCAAGCTTTAGAGAACAGTGCCACTCTGTTTTGTTCATGAGTCATTCTCTGTGACCAAAGGCTCCATGTGCAATATGTTTCCTAGAAGCTGCATTTGTATACATTTTTTTTTAAAAAAAGCTTAGTTCTTAATTTAAAGCATAGAATCCTATTGCCTTGCCAGAGAAGAAAAAACTTATCACTCCTGGAATCTATCCCCAAGCATGTTCTGAGGATAAGAATTACTATGTGAATGTAGTCAGCTATTGGTAGTGCTACTGACAGAGGCTGTAACTGGCCAATGGGACAGATAAAGCACAGCTGGGCAAGCTTCCCTTTGCAAAGTGCCAGACATTAAATATGATATTTTAGGCTTTGTGGGGCCAAATGTTTCTGTTGAAACTATGCAACTCTGCCACTGTAATACAAAAGTAGCCACAGACCATATATAAACAAACGGGTGTGGCTGTGTTCTAATAAAACTTTATGAACAAAAATAGGTGGCAGATCTGGCCTGCAGACCATAGTTTGCTTATTCCTGATGTAAGGCTTTGGTCTGGATATAACAGATCTTGATATTGCTATTGCCTTTGCTGTGCCATTTTATTAATTCATCCACAAGTCATCCTACATTTAGTTTCCTGTTCATTTCAAATTCTGATTCTTTTTTTGTTTTTTGGCCAGGGCTGGGTTTGAACCCACCACTTCTGGCATATGGGGCTGGCACCCTACTCCTTGAGCCATAGGTGCCAAGGAAAAATACCACCTTAGGCTCGGCACCTATAGCTCAACCGGCTAAGGGGCCAGCCACGTACACCTAAGGTGGCGGGTTCGAATCCCCAGCCCGGACCCGCCAAACAACAATGACGGCTGCAACCAAAAAATAGCCGGGCGTTGTGGCGGGCGCCTGTGGTCCCAGCTACTTGGGAGGCGGAGGCAGGAGACTCGCTTGAGCCCAGGAGTTGGAGGTTGCTGTGAGCTGTAATGCCACGGCACTCTACCCAGGGGGACAGCTTGAGGCTCTGTCTCAAAAAAAAAAAAAAAAAAAAAAAATACCACCTTAAAAAAACCTTTACATTGGGGTGGCACCTGTGGCTTAAAGGAGTAGGGCGCCGGCCCCATATGCTGGAGGTGGCGGGTTCAAACCCAGCCTGGCCAAAAACCGCAAAACAAACAAAGAAACAAAAAAGAACCTTTTACATCTTTCCTGTACTGAATATCAGAGGACTAATATAATAGCAGGTCTCTATTTCTTTTATAATTCAAAGTAGAAGTCATATTTTAATTAAAAAAAAACACAACAGAATACAACCAATATTTTTGGAGCAAGTTGTAAGTTGAAGGCCAGAAAATTCTTTGTGATAGACCAGCAGTACCTCTTCATCCAGACATCAGGAGGGGAGGGTACCACTAGTGCCACCAACAAGGGCAAGACAGATAGGGAGAAAAATTCCGACACCCTGAAGTCCAGCATCTGTGTGAACGCAACTGAGTGGCCACCCCAGCCTTGTTGGTGACTGATACGTCACTCTGGGCTTTGGGCACTGGGGCCCTATGGGACTGTCCCGCAGCATTTTGGCATTTTCTCCACAGCTGAACTATGTTTTTCTACCTCGGGGTATTTGACAGCAGAGCTGCATAGTTCTAGGGAATACAGGCAGGAACGCTTCCGCAGAATGACAGTGTCCAAACGGATGAAAGGGAGGGAGGCAAGATGTTCTCAGGGACACAGAAGAGTGTCAGAAAGCCGTGAGTGATAGCACCACTTTCCCCTCAGCAATGCTCCCAGTCTGACTCACATGACAATTTACTACTACATAACTACACTGGCTTTTCCTAAAAATTATGGCTTTAGTCAAATATACAATCTTACCAAATGGATAAAGATTAAAAAGTAAAATCATGAGGTCAAACTAAACACCAAGCACTCTTTAAACGTGGAAATAGATTAATTTTCCATAGATTGTAATGCAAACATGGTGTCTCTCGTCAGATTTCCGGCTTTGTCAGTCAGTTTTCTAGGGCTGACCTGGCGGGAGAAGCTCACTGAAGCAGTTGCGGGAATGACCTGTCACAAGTCACTGTTCAGGCAGCAGCTTCCGCCTGCTCAAAGCCCACCCCGGCTGAGAGGAGTGACACCTACGTCCTGTGCACCTCTTCCAGTGCTCCTGCCCCACGGTCAGCAGCTCCTTCACGCCGTCGTCCATGGCCTTGGTGAACTTCCCAACTGCGTCGCACTTCTGCTCTCTGGGCCCAGGCAGCCATCAGCCACACGAGGAGGAGGAAAGGCAGGAAGTGGTCAGGGGACTCAGAGCAATGTACCCACAGGGGCCTGCTGTACTTAACTCTGCTTCCTTCCCCCCTCTGTTCCTTGTGAATTTTAACTAAAATTATTAGAAAGTAAATAAAATCATTTCTTAGATATCCTATTTAGTGAAATTTCAATCACTAGAAACAATGAGTTGTACAGTAGCTGTTCACTGATTCCAGCATTTCAATGAAACAGACAATAACCTAGAAAAGTCACCTGAGTGATACTGAGGAGGTCCAGTCTTTAAAGACGTAGAAAGTATATTTACCACCCTGAAAAGACCATCATGATACACTTTTAAACGGAAAAGCAGATCATAAAACAATGTATATACTGTGAGGTCATTTGTGTTTAAACAATTTTTCCTATAACTACATGTATCCAGAGGAGGGTACAACATAAACATCAACCATCATTAACAATGATTCTCTCTCTGGGTAGTTGAAAGATTGTGTGTATGTTTCTTTGGCTATATTTTTTGTAACAGAAGCAGTGTTTTCTTATGATAAGAAAAAAACTTCTTTTTTTTTTTTTTTTTTTGACAGAGCCTCAAGCTGTCCCCCTGGGTAGAGTGCCATGGCATCATGCTCACAGCAACCTCCAACTCCTGGGCTCAAGCGAGTCTCCTGCCTCCGCCTCCCAAGTAGCTGGGACCACAGGCGCCCGCCACAACGCCCGGCTATTTTTTGGTTGCGGCCGTCATTGTTGTTTGGCAGGTCCGGGCTGGGGATTCGAACCCGCCACCTTAGGTGTACGTGGCTGGCGCCTTAGCCGGTTGAGCTATAGGCGCCGAGCCAGAAAAAAACTTCTTAAAAAGAAAGATTTGGGGGCAGAGCCTGTGGCTCAGTGAGTAGGGCACTGGCCGCATATACCAAAGGTGGAGGGTTCAAACCCGGCCCCAGCTAAACTGCAACAAAAAATAACCAGGTGTTGTGGTGGGCACCTGTGGTCCAGCTACTTGGGAGGCTGAGGCAAGAGAAGCTCCTAAGCCCAGGAGTTGGAGGTTGCTGTGAGCTGTGACACCAAAATAAATAAAATAAAAAAAAGAAAGATTTCTTGGCCCGGCATGGCAGCTCACACCTGTAAACCCAGCACTCTGGGAGACAGAGGCAGAAAATCACTTGAGCTCAGGAGTTTGAGACCGGTCTGAGCCAGAGTAAGACTCTATCTCTACTAAAATTAGAAAAATTAGCCAGGCATTGTGGCAGATGCCTGTAATCCCAGTTACTGAGGCAGGAGGATATCAAGTTTGAGTTTGCTGTGAGCTAGGCTGATACCACTGCATTCTAGCCTGGGCGACAGAGACTTTGTCCAAGAAAGGAAGGAAGGGAGTGGGGGAGGGAGGAAGATTTCTTATTAGTTCTTCTTCAGGGTGTCCATAAAATTGGCTATTTTAAATCGTACATAGACTTTATGGACACCCTACACAGAAAAGGAAATACTCCAAAGTTTCAACTGAACTTTCATTAAAAAAATTAAATGATTAAAAACAGATTTAGAAAATGCTCAGGAAAAAGTGGATTGGAGTTTGCTCCTTCAAGGCCATGTTCAAGATTTTTGCTTTGCTGAGTATTACGTGGGTGTTAGTGGCCTGGTGCCATTTGGTTTCATCGTATTTCACTGTCAACTATGAAGTCACTTTCTTCAAGGAAGCAGATTTTCATCTGATGTTTGGTTAGGAAGACAGTATTTCCATTATAAATGGTGTTTCTCTGGTCATCTGACTGCAACCCCCACCCACTTTGTTAACTCTGACAGTGTGAACTGCAGCTGCCGGCTATACCGGCCAAGACTTGTAAGTCACAGAAGGAGACACAGACTGAGAAAAAGGGAAGTGTGGCAGCGTCTCTCACATTTCTGTTAAGTCCAAGTCAGGTGCCTCTGGCTCCATGGTGGAGAATATCATAACTCCTGCCAGCTCATCTTTCTCAGCCTTCCTCTTCCCAGTTTTCCATTCCTGTAAATGAGAACATTACAACGCAAACCTGGGGTCAAACTGGCCTTCCCAAACTCACTGACGATGATGAATCAGCTCCCAGACAGTGTTTTTCTTTCTAGTGTTCAGGAGGCAGCCCCCACCCCATCCCCCTCTGTGTCCTGGGCCAAATCCTGCATATCTCACATGTGTTCTCAGCTCATGAAAAGTGTCACCTCACACAATGGTCCCTTAGGGGACCCAGTCTCTTGAGAGTGAAATGACTCGGTCACATTTCTTTCTGAACAGCTACCAAGACAAACACATCGAATACAAAACACCCTGTACCTCAAATGTTTAGGTTAACTGTTTTGTAAAAAAGATAAATGCTTTTTAAAAATACAAGCTAGGAGCCAATATTAGGGGCTATTTTAAAAAATATGTTACTTTAAGATATACACACAGACACACCCATACATGGAAAAAGGCCCAAGCAAATACAAATAGTGCAATGATTCTCAAAAAGAGGGCACGAGAGCCAGCTTTCACAGCCCCTCACGTCCTTTCCCAGGCACTGCCACCCCTTCCCTTCCCCGCAAAGGTAACCATTATTCTGTCATGGTTTTCACTGCCTTGTTTTCTGCTATGGTCTCAATGAGTCCCCTCTGAAATTCATGTGTTAAAACTTAACGGCCAGTGTAATGCCACTGCCTTGATCTTGGACTTCTAGCCTCCATAGCAATCCTATTCTTTATAAATTACCTGGTCGCACGTATTTTGTTACAGCAGCACAAAAGAACAGACATGCTTTGCTTAGAGCTTACCACCTAAGCAGGGATTCTCACTCACTGTTTGGTTAGTTTTTTCAACTAGCAAAGAACCCTATAACACACATTCTTCTGAGTTTAGCTTCTTTCCTCGACCTTGGTTAGGAATCATACTCACACTGCTGTCCAAACTTTGCTGTAGCCAAAGTTCATTCCCCTCACTGCCATGTAGTATTCTGCTGTACGAATGTCCCCCCATTTGTTCATCCATTCTATTACACTAGTAGCCACCCCCATCAAATTACATGGCTTTTCTGAAAAAGGAAGTTCTTAGTTTCGATGCAATCTAAATTTGTCCATCTCTTTCTGTACTGTTAGTCTTTTTGTGTGTGTCTTATTTCAGAAATCCTTCCTTACTCCAGGGATACGAAGCTATTCTATGTTACCTTCTAGCAGCTTTACTGAATTGCCTTTCGTATTTGGATCTTGGAACTTTATATAATGAAAACTTTCAAACATATACGGAAGCGGAGGAAAGTACAGTGAGCCCTCCAGACTCAGCTTTGCACTGCCAGTCTTCACAATGAAAGCTTCCAGAGCTTCGGAGTCACGGCAGCTTCCTGCCACCCATTTCCATAGTTCCACATACTTTCCAAGAATGTCAGTCACAGCCTCCAAGTAAGAAATGGTCATTGTGGCTCGGCACCTATAGCTCAAGCGGCTAAGGCGCCAGCCATGTACACCTAAGGTGGCGAGTTCGAATCCCCAGCCGGACCCGCCAAACAACAATGACGGCCGCAACCAAAAAATAGCCTAGCGTTGTGGTGGGCGCCTGTGGTCCCAGCTACTTGGGAGGCGGAGGCAGGAGACTCGCTTGAGGCCAGGAGTTGGAGGTTGCTGTGAGCGTGATGCCATGGCACTCTACCCAGCGGGATAGCTTGAGGCTCTGTCTCAAAAAACAACAACAACAACAAAAAAAAAAAAAAAAAAGAAATGGTCATTGCTGTCCCAAGCCATCCTTTGGTGCTTCCAGGTTCTGAGAGAGCTTTGTCTCCAACTTTCACGCTAACTGGTCAAATCTCTCCAGCCTCACCTTTAGAGCCCCATCTAACAGATACTATAGTTGCTTGTAATACTTCTCTTTGAGATTTTTCTGGAAGCATAATGCTTTGGCTACAGTTTCAGCACATTCCTTTCAGTCAATGTTCAAAGAGCAGAAGTTTTCCAGACGTTCTGCTGTGACTCCACAAGAGACCTGTGGCCCGTTCTCCACGCCTGTGAACTTGCCCACTGCTGCTCCCCTCCCGGGGAGCTGCCAATCTCGCTTTAGAGCTGCTCTCCTCCATTCTGCCTTTGTTTTCTGGTTTGGGGATTTTTTTTATTTTTTGGCTTCACTGAAATCTCAGATATAATATCATTTCACCTATAAGTACTTCACTATGTATCTTTAACAGACAGGTACTATTTTAAAAACCCAACCACACTACTGATATTTAACCCTAACAAAGTCAACTGTGGATTATTGTAGCAGTGACCACATTTCATTTAGCCTCCATAGGGCATTCTGTTCTACTGCTCTGTCTGTCTAGTGCAGGCGTCCTCAAACTATGGCCCGCGGGCCACATGCGGCCTGCCGAGGACATTTATCCGGCCCGCCGAGTATTGTTGCCGCCGCCACCTGTCCTGCTTAGCAGCCGACTCGTCCGGGAGCTGCAGTCCGGCCCTCCAGTGGTCTGAGGGACAGTGAACTGGCCCCCTGTTTAAAAAGTTTGAGGACCCCTGGCTAGTGTTATGCCAATACCACACTTCAAAAACTGTGGCTTTATGGTGAGTTTTGACATCATCCAGTAAAGTCCTCCTGCTTCACTCTTTTTCAGCAGCACCTTGCCTATTCTCAGTCCGTCTTTTTTCTACATATGGCATCTTGTCTTTAAGAAAATAATTTATTTTTAGATTATACTATGAACCCACCCCAAGACTTTTCTATTTTTCTCTGAATCTCCAGTATGTAATCCACATTATATTTTCCCTAAAAGCAGCATAGCTAGAAGCCTACTGAATCTTTTGTCCTTGATTCTGAGGCTACAGCAAATACATGGCCTTTTTACTGTTTTCAATTCATGAGACATAGTATAGGGAAATTTATTTAGGTCCTCTTTCATTTCTTTCAATGATGCATCATAGTTTTCTAGGCAGGTCTTTTGTTACATTTCTTGTATTTATTCTGAAATATTTCATACTTTTTATGCTATTGTAAGTAGCAGGTATTTTAGAATTTCAATTTGTTTTTGCTGATAAGTTTACAATGTCTTGTATCTAGTTACCTTACTAACCACTTATTTCTAATAATTTCACCATGGATTCTTTGGTATTTTCTAGGTCTACCATTTATTTACATTAGCTAACCACTCACCATAGACTCATAGTTTTTTTTTTTTTTTTTTTTGA